TGTTTCTTTCTTACAGGAGAGGATCTTAGGTTTTGTTGTTTTTGATTGATTGTTTTCTCTGGATGCTTTGTTTTGTTTTGACACAGGATCTCATGTAGCCTTAGACTGTTCTCAGTAAGTAAGAAGGATCCTTCTCCCTCCACCCAGAGTTCTGAGATTACCCGTGCTTGTTATCCTGTGCAGTTTACGTGGTGCTGGGGATCAAAACCAAGGCTTCATATGTCCTAGGAAAGCACTGTACAAATTGAGCTACACATCCCAGCTCACCTGCACATAAACATGATGTATACACATATCCCTCAACACGTGTATGAGCTGCTCAGTGTTGAATCAGGTGGAGTACAACTGTCTCCTCACACTCACTTTTTCTTAGTACGGTAAGCTTTTCTTTCTGAAACACACAACTGTGATCATTACACAGAGCAATAGCGCCTGGGGTGCTGGCTCCTGACTGATGTAAGTTAGCACAGTGACCATCCTCGTACCACCTTCCTCCATTACCTCCAACTTCCGGTTACTGTCGTGGCACTCCGCATGAGTCCAAACCTTTTAGATGGCACCTAACGAGGTACTGCATCACTTGTCTTTCTGCGACTGGCTTATTGTCCTTAACATAGAGCTATTCGGACTACCCATGCTGAACTGAATAAAGTTGTTTAATTTTTCTTGTCTCAGTAGTGTTTTTCCAGCTGATGAAAATACAAGTTGTTTTCATTTCCTAGTCGTTATGAATATTGCCACATGGAACACGGTAGTGAAATTATCCCTATGAAATGCCGATCTGTCTTCTTTACAGAGTATTTATTACATTTTCATGCGTTGGGGAGCAGACACGCTTTTTTTTTTTCTTTGATTCATGTACAGTTGTAACAATGCGGTGTAGAGGTCCCCTTTCCTCCACATCCTCCATGGTACGTTTTATATTTAGTTACTTGTTAGAAAACTAGCATGTATTTAAGGAATGATAAGACAATAACAAATAAATATGAATAGGATAAAGTAAACAAAAGAAAAGGTGTCAGAAGAAAATGCATGGCTATTGTCACAGAGATGGGCTAACGTTACTTTTTGATTTTTATGTTAAGTCCTTTCATGGCTCAGGAGGTTGAGCTCTTTGTTTCATGTGCCTGTCTCCATCCATGTCTCTTACGGAAGATCTATTTAGATCACTTGTTCTGTTTTTTAAATTAATTTTTATTTACCTTTTTTAGAATTTCACGCAAGAATATTATACTTACATCAGTTTAAACTCTCCTATTCTCCTTCAACCTCCTCCTCTATGTCCTGCAGTCTGTACATGTGTTTAGAACTGATTGTGAAACTTATGAGGTAGACCCACCCCTGGACAACACCTCATCTGCTTCCATCAGCATCTGTTAATTTCCTGAAGCTCTTTTTTTTAAATCTATGTTTGGAGCATTGTGAAATTTTCCCCATCCATGTTGGCATGTTGACTGATGTGGTCAGTTTTAACTTGGATATTTTTCCCATTAAAATTTTTGAATCACATCTATATTCTAGCTATCAGCCTATCAGATATATACATATATATATATGTGTGTGTGTGTGTGTGTGTGTGTGTGTGCGTATATAGATAGATAGATAGATATAGATATAGATATAGATATAGATATACTCCCTATCTTTAGAGATTAACTCAAGTCTGTACTCTTGATTGGGGTACTCAAAGAACTAAAGTTCATTATGATATTTTATGTAATCATTCCTAGATTAATGCAAGGTAAATAAAGACAGAAAACTAAGCAAATGCTAAAAGAAAGGTACTGCTGGGCATTGAATTTCCTTTGGAATAGTACCAAATGAAGAATTCTGAACTACAAATGCAGTAACCAAGAGGAGCATCACCACCACCATCACCCACATCCTACCACCTACCTCCCACTCCCACAAACCACGCCCACCTCCCACTCCCACCTCCCACCATACCTACGGCCTCGGTGGGAAATTCCATGGACCTGTTTCTGCAATTGTCTAATTCTGAAAGAGACTTTTCAAATTATATAGTGGGACAGTTCAGTGCTGTTTTCTGTGGCTTCATGACATTAAATATTCAAGGAAACAAACAAGCAATCTCTGTATGTGTGTGTGTGTGTGTGTGTGTGTGTGTGTGTCTTTCTCTCTCTCTCCCATGCACAGAAAAACTATCCAAGACTAGGAGGCAGATCAAGCTCTGCATCAATTCCATGAATCTCCAGTTTTTCCAGCTGAAGCCATGGCACTGGCCCAGGAGCTGCCTTCTGAAGGACACTCCCATCTGTGCTTGTGAGCGGCTTCTCTACAAGCAAAGTCCTAGAAGTGTGCTTTGGAAATGATTGACTTCAGAGTACACAGAGCAGCCAAGTCCTTCCAAAGGTGTTGCTTGGTTCAGCATCGTTATGGAAACTCTGTGCATAGCGAGTGATGAGATGCTGGGCAGGAAACCGAGGATTCACACTACTATGTATTTTTACCTTCTAATTATTATTTAATTAGCACTTCAGTGCTTGCAAAATGGGTGTGAACGTGAAAATTAAATCCCGAGTAGAGGGTAAGAAACACAACCCTGTGACACATAGCATCCAGCACTCTTCCAAACCCACAGTGACAGCCCTGACCCAGTTTGAGCCTGTTGCTGAAGCCTTTGGGGTGTCAGGAGCTAAAGTGTTGAAGGCATTGATGAGATAAGAGTTGACAGTGGAACTTAGGAGCCCATTGCCTCTCACATGGCTTTTCCACATTAGAACCTCAAGATTCTTTGGCAAGTCATCTGTTCATATCACAAAGTTCAGACTTCTTTCTGTATGACCTGTGGCTGGATATGTGTCACGAAGTAGACATTTAGTCACTGAGCATGAATGAGATTCATTCATTCATTCATTCATTCATTCATTCATTCATTCATCCCTGAGCATAGCTTTTCTTCTTGCCTTTAAAGTTAGTAGACAAAAATTAAGTATCACTATGGCATTTCTAAACACAATGTGTTTTAACTGAAGTCTTTCCCCTCCTCACCACATGTCTCTACCACCTCCTGGTATCCTCCCTAAACCCCAGAGTCCTTTCCAGCTTCAAGTCACACATGTCTTGCAGATAGCTCCCACTCCACCAGCATCACGTTTTATCCTTTCTTGGTCTCCTCACAGGTTTTTAGGCTTTAGTCACGTTTGCATCCTAGGATTCACATGTATGAAAGGTCTTTGTCTCTCTTAGTTTGGCATATCTTGATTAATATGAAAACTTCCCAGATCCATTCATTTCCCTGCAAATTCCAAATTTTCCTTTTATAAAATAGCTGAATAAAATCCCATTATGTATATCCATTAACTTGTTGATGGACATTTAAGCTGACTTCCATTTTTTACCATTCATAGATAATTTTTGATTGCCTTCTAAAAGTCAGCAAAGAATTAAACTCCAGGAGCTTGAAGGTAAATACTACATTGCTGCCAACTTCAGGATTTCCCACTTGTGTGCATCAAGAGCTACTGGAAATAGTAATAATCGATAGAAATGACCAAGATGGGTAGAGAAGGGAAAACTAAATTTTGATGTGCTCTAGATGTTAAACATGCTGCTGGCCCATTGTCAGTCTTGTGAAATTTCTTGAATAATGACTTATGAAACTAATATGAGTACCTTATTATAATTGTGGCATACAAACACACACATACACACACATACACACACACACAAACACACATACACACACACACCAAGACTATTGGCTAAAATGATCAGTGGAAAAGTCCCCAGGGAAGAGATTTAGTATTGAAAGCATTTTATAGGTTCAACCAGAGTCAATTCATTAAGTGGAAGATAGATGTGTTCTTCAGGACACAGTGTTTGGGGCTTAGTCTTTGATATTCAGCTATGTGGATTGTTTCAGCTGCAGCTCCTTTCATGCCTGCAAGCCAAGGCTGAGCAGCCATGACCAATGACCACTGCAGATAAACAACAGTTACTGTCAGTATCTCAGCTATGAATCCCATCACATTACACCGTAATCTTTAGTAATGACTATAGTCTGATAAAGACCTCAATTACAATTTACAAATGGACAAGTTTTCCCATACAGTAAGATGCAAAATACTCAATTAAAAGTTTGCTATTTTCAAAGTAAATTTTTAGCATAGTTTGGATTTTAAATTTTTTTATAGTGGCTTCCTAAACATTTATTTTTCTTACTTTTGAACAGGAGGCATCTGATCTGAAGGGTTTGAAAATTGCAATCTTTCCTCCTTAGAATGAGAGAGCCTAACATCAGGGAATGCACACTGTGAATTCTGACTCCATAGACTTTATTAAATAATCCAGGCACAGGCAATTCTAACCCAACATACCTCAGGGATCACTTGAAACATTCCAAAGCAGGAGGGAGGGAGAGAGGGCGGGAGGGAGAGGGAACTGGGATAGACATGTAAAATAATAAATTAAATTAAAAAAAATGTTTTGACTTCAAAATTTAAGTTCAAGGACAAGTTACTGGGGAAAAGGATTTCTATTTTTGTTTCCACAGAAAATGAAAAGCTGTGGATTCCTTCCAGACTAATGTGGTTTGATCAAGCCAGACTGCCTGAAACAGAGTACCAGGTGATCCTACATTCAAAACAGCTGGACAAAGCAGCCTTACAGACTACAGCCAGGATTTCTGAATCTTCTTTGAATCCCCCATGACAGCGCCTCTTACCAGCAGGAAGTAGTTTGGAAAGAACAACGCCCAAATTCCTAAATATTGTCTGTAAATGTTTGTTTTCATTTAAATGGACTTGGTTATATAAAATAAATAAATAAATAAATAAATAAATAAATAAATAAATAATTGTCTTATCCACCTCGGTAACATTGTTTTCTTCACTAAGTCCCACAAAGTGATGCTTAGAGTGACCATCATTAAGTGACCATTGATATCTTACAGTGTAATCAATAACAGACTAAAGTGGAATAGGAGCACAAAATATCTAATGCGGTGCTGCTGCTGGGAGTTTTCTGGAGGCCAGCGGCGCGGGGCTGAGGGCCTGAGGGCCCTTGGGCAGACCGGTCATGTCGCACAAACAAATTTACTATTCGGACAAATACGACGACGAGGAGTTCCAGTACCAGCATATCATGTTGCCCAAGGACATAGCCAAGCTGGTCCTTAAAACCCATTTGATGTCTGAATCTGAATGGAGAAATCTTTGCGTTCAGCAGAGTCAGGGATGGGTCCATTATATGATCCATGAACCAGAACCTCACATCTTACTATTCCGGCAGCCACTACCCAAGAAGCCAAAGAAATGAATCTGTTGAACCACCTTTCTTCCTCAAGATTTACTCAGCTGTCCTTTCTTCCTACCATCTTTCAGATAGCATGATTATGTTGCTCTCTTATTTCTCATTTTGATATTTAAAGAATGTTCGTTCAATACACTGTTTGAATGTGCTGGTACCTGCTTTGCTTCTTGAGCTGAGCCACCATTGCCACAACCTGTTAGATGAGTATGACCTCAAAGACCTAGTGTGCTCTGTATCCAGCAGGCCATATTTTCCATCACTCTGAAGCATGTGAAAATCAGAACATGGCTCTTACAGGGGTGGTGTGAATTTGCCATTGTGGTTTTTACTATTGGGTGTTGTATTTATGGTGACTTATGGATTTATGTTTCAATGTATTGGAAACTTTCCATTTTATCTGACAAATCTCTTCCATGTTACAAGCCTTGATTAAAGGAAGTTTTTATAATCCAAAAAAAAATCTAGTGCATGAAAAACCACACACACACACACACACACACATACACACACACACACACACACACGATGGATGCCAAGTCTTGCAGCACAGCTCATACCACTTATACTAGCTTTGAGCCATCTCATTATCAGCCTGCCCAATATGGTACACCTGAAGGATTGTCATGGTTTGGTTATATATTTCAAAGTGGCCTCTAAATTAAAATACCATGCTAAGAGACACATCTATCAAAAAAAATTTCAAAGAAAGGATAATTAAATAATATATAACAATGGAATACCATCAGATAAGAGAGTGATGGTCTATGTAACTAGCCTATGGAATCTACACATGTATCCTAGTGAAGAACAGAAGTACTCTAGCTACTATTAGTTCTTATCTATTTAGCAAACATTTGTGTTGTTTGTTTTCTGTGCCAGGAATAATACAAATATATTGAAAATAAAAGGCAATCTTTTTTTTTTTAATCACAAACTTTAAATACACTAGCAAGAAAGTGTTTCATAGACGAATTCTGTTCTGAGGAAACAGGACAAGATTATTCAAAGTATACCATGGCGTGAGAGTAGAGATGTCAATGAAATAGAAATTCAAGGATAATCTTCAGAAGTGAAAACATTTCAAATAAGCTTGAGAGAAAAGTAGCCTTCGCCAAGCAAAGAAGAGAAACAAAATATTCTGGGGAGGGGGAATACAAAGTTAAAGTCATGAAATCATCCACAGACATGACTAGAGAACGCTGGGAACCTCTGTGTGTGAAAATAGTCAGGATGAGAATGGCACAAGAACAGGACACTGGAGAGCTACAGGGGAACAAAGGGGTCTCCACTATAAGTAGTCTGTTATTTTTAAAGTATATACACCCTCTTCTGTTTTATAAGAGTGCAAGACCAAAACAGGTGAGGAGAGAAAGAAACAGATCTGGGCATGCATCTTTAAAGAACCTGACATGTGACTACACTTTGTAGGAGCTTAATTTTGGTACTTGAAAGGTACTTGAAGCAGGGAAAGGCAATGGTCAAATCTATGGTTCAGAAACATCCTTCTGGCAGAAGGCTAGATTCTACATTGGCTGGGGACCTGACTATTAATAGGGATCTAATCAGTAAGGCACAGAAACCACGCAAGTTATCAGCTATCTGGACCCAGTGTAACCAGTGACAATGGGCAAGGGATTTCAGTGACAGGTTCCACTGGGCTCAAAATCCAGGGAATTCAGAATAGGAGGAAGAAGCTGGGGGCAGGAGGAGACTATTTTGCTCAACTTCCAAATTCTTACTTAAATTGCTAGACAGAAGATCTCATTAATGGTCAAGGAGTAGAGTGTTGTTGTCAATATTATCTAGGAATTGTCACTACAGGATTTGATGGATGGACTTTCCTAGGAGTGTTTCGGCAACTGGAGGACAGAGTAAACTATCCTTATGCAACTAGATTTACAAGAAATGGAGGGGACTAGAAAGGAAAATGTAATCATTCAGAAGCGGGGGAAGTTACAAAACACAGAGCAGGAGCAGAGTGGGAGAAGTGGGTGCCGTATGACTTGAAATCAATAAAACCAAAGAACAGCTCAGTGTTTCTAGAGCAGAGCAGGATAAGATAATGCAATATCTCAGCACACATTAGAGTCCAATTGACAGGACTCAGAAGCCTGGATGAGTGTCTTGTGCTTAATTCACAAAACACTGTGGCACTAAGCACCCAGCAAAGTTTATTAATAATCCCAATAATAACGGTATTTCTCTAGGCTCTATAGAATATTAAAATTCTTTCACTTTCATTCATGTTCTTGTTTGCAGCTCATCATCTCTTTGAGGGAGATAGTGAAGACTAATTATCCCTGCCTCACTGATAAGGAAGCCAACTCTCAGGAAACATGAGAGACTAGACCAACTTACAGAACAATTAAAGGCTGAACCAACACTAGAATTCCGATTCCTTGTTTCTTGATGAGGGTACCATTCTTTTTTGCAGCCTTACCCAATCTCAAGCTGAGGAAAAACTGAAGAGTATCTGCACTCAACAAGACAGCATTCTAAAAGAGCTGCCTCCCATCTGACACTTCCTTCAGACCTTCACAGCAGCTGGAATGGTGGGCGGTTGTCATCTTCATTTGATGTCTTGAGTGAAGTCAAGCAGAAATTCTGCCCTGTGCTGGGCTCCCTGAGCTCACCTGGATGCCCTCTGCAAGGACTGAGTTTGTAATTTCTTTTGTTGGCTCCCATATTCTGCTAAATGGTCAACAGCCACCAGTCAAGACATATAGGGTGTAAATCTGTTTTAGACCTCTCTGTAGGCAGACAAATATTCCACTTAGTGCTATTAACAAGGTATAAACAGAATTCCATTCTACAACACCATCCTGCTTAGAATACACATCATGTTCAGTTCTCGTGTGTAGACTTGGGAGCCAAATCCAATTGACTCAGAGGCAGACTTCTGACAAGCCTAGTAGGTAGGTGAACCTTGCTGGGGTGAGTTGTTACAGGCATAAAATCCTGTTCCCACCACCATAAGAGAAAATAACATAATTTTCTTAATGTGTCAGAGCTTTGGGAAGGCATCCAGACCTCTGTGTAGTTAAGAGTTTGGAACTGAATCTGGAAGCTATGAACTGTGCCTTCCCTACACCGAAACCACAGTGTAATACCTTGTAAAATCAAGAAGAAAGCACTCCAATGTTCCAGTTGTTCCTGCGTGCAATTCAGAGGCTAATAAATCCTAAAAGCCAAATAACTTCCATGCCTGATTCTCCAGTTAAACTTTCTCATGTTTAAAATTAATGGTATTGGTTCCAAGTCAATTTCAGATAATAACCAGTAAAATACAACCAGAGCCTAGCTACAAACAAAATTAAAAGTTTATGAAAACAGAAACTGGAATTTAATTCCAAAGCTAATTCAATTTGTATCCTAACTAACCAGAACTGGACATATATGGAGAAGAGAAAATCTGGAGAGGAGGTCAGAGGTCAAGGGCACAGAAGGGCTGTTGTAGATCCAGAACAGCTAGAGAACAAAACAGAACAGTGGGTGAGAGACAGATTTGTAGGACATATAACTCAGGATTTAGGACAGTGAGCCTGACTTTGTCTTCCTTCATGAGAGAGGAGAGTGTATGGGTCACATTGTAGTTTTGTTTCCATTGTCTTCCTGGAGCTAGCTTAACTGAAAGAATGACCTCTAACTCTCCAGTAGGGCTCAGGTAGAGATCCATAGGACCACTGTTATACATCCATTTGCTTGGTGGCAAAAATATGAGAGACAGTTAATAACCAGTTACTAACTTGTGCCTATTCATCTAATTAGGCTTCCAATTCAATGCTGGAGCTTTCAAGGCATATATTACAGGAAAAGTGAATTTGTAGTAGCTTATTATGTTTGGTATTTTCCAGAAACAGGTAGGTACCTCCTCATATGAGCAAGCAGCCAATCCAGAGTCCACTGCCTCCCACCCCCCTCTGCCAAACTATTCTCACAACAACCCCAAACCACCCTAGACCTAGTACTTCGCATCTAAGGGCCACCCCAGACATTCTGCTACTTAGGGTCATCTTGAGATATCCAAATGACACACTTCTACTTAGTAAAAAGACTCTGGTGTTTCCATGACTTCCTATTAAATCCACAATGAAGGCATTGGCCTGTGCATTTTCTCCCTACTCCTGCCTCTTTACTGACTAATCATCACTTCCCATGTGTCTTATGTCTTCAGGTCCTTTATGTTTGAGAACTTTGACCAAAGTTATTTCTTTTTAAAGGTTTTCGTTTTTATTTTTAATTCCAAGCATGTTTGTGTCTTTGTGAATGTGCACATGAATGTAAGTGTACACAGAAGTCAGAGGAGGACATTTGATCCCTTGGAGCTGGAGTTATAAGTAGTTGAAATCCACCCAGTGTGGGTGCTGGGAAACACATTCTGGTCCTCTGTAAGAATGACATTGTCTCTTCATTGCTGAGCCATATCTCCTTAAAATCCTCTTTGTCAAGTCAAATGTTTCCATTCCAGCTATCTTCCCATACCTGATTATGAGCATAATTTAGGGTAAAACTTAAAATCTCTGAGAAGAGGATCAACAAAGTAAGTCTATTTGAGGGTTTATGAAATACATTTCCTTAAGAGTTCCAGAAGGTTCCTCCTTCATGTTATGAAAAAAAACTATTACTGTTGGTGGGTGGAAAAGAGGTTTTTTTGGGGGGGAAAGTTCAATGGGACTGTCTAGCTGTTATAGATGTCTTTTCTGACTTTAATAGCAGCAGTGGTATGTCAGAGCGCAGTATGTTGTCATGGCATTTAGAGCAAAGGTGACTACAATTACCATGAGGTGATATGGAAAAGTGAGAATTACAGTGTTTTTTACCCATGCAGACTAGCTGTTGTTAATCACAAACTTACTAGACATAAATACAAATATATCCCATTAAGGTGTAACATGGCACAGATGGAAAGCTGGTAGGTAGAATTATCTAGTATCAGTGGTGAAGATTCACAGATTAAATACCCTAATGTGTGCTGGGAACTGAACTCATGTGCTTTGCAGAGTATTATGTCAACTCTCAGCAGGAAAAGCCATCTCTCCAGCCCTCTTTGTAGTTTTTGTATTATTTGCATTCCTTGTCAATTTCCCTGTGACAAAATATTTGATAGCAGCAACATAAAGAAGAAAAGATATAGTTAAACTTTCAATTCAGAGATAATTGTCCATCATGGTGAAGACATGGAGGCTGTTGTGAGTCTGGGAGCTTGTAGTGGTCG